CATATGTACCCAGTAGAGGGAAGCAAGACTCCATTTGGCATTACTATTTCTGGCGTTTTAATAATTTCTGAAATTATATGCAATCTATTTTAACTGTATTATGTAGCCGAAAGTTGTCCACAATTTCTCTCACCTGCTGAAGACACCTTTATTTTATGGTTAACACTGTTGAGAAATTTAGACGTCAGAATAATTCTGTTCATAGTATATTTGTGTGGCATTCGTCATATATTTTCAGAATTCTATACCTCCCAACTAATTAAAAAGAAAACTCTGCAAGACAGTTCTGACTTTGGGCTCTATTGTGATGGTCCTGAGTTGATACCCTGGTGCCACGCCTCTGTAGACAACAAAAATGTAAAATGCAGTGTGAGCATATTATTAAATGCACTCACTTTGCACTAAGCCATCTAATGGTAATTTGTCCAATGTGTTTTTCAGCTGCACTATAGGCAGCCTTGAGGTGCAGCAAAACAGCGTAGTGCAAACAAGCCCCAGACTGCCATTCAGGAGTGCTCAAGTCAATGATGATGCAAACTGGGCCACAAACACTTCCTATTCCGACCCTTTCCTTGCCCATCCAGTATAGTAATGTAAAGAATTCTTGAAAAAAAAAATTTGTTTGCCAGTTTCCTCCAGGGCAAAGGAAAGTTTCAATTTGATCATTAAAAGGACACTGTAGGCACCCAGACCACTTTAGCTAATTGAAGTGACCTGGGTGCAATGCCCCTTTTGCACTTGGTGCTGCAATATTAAACATTGCAGTTCCAGAGATACTGCAATGTTTACATTGCAGCTCCAAGTCGGCCCAGAGTGCCTGTCTACCAGTCAGCCACTAGAGGGCTTCCTGAATCAAAACGGACCTTTGGTCCGGTATCTGATGCTGGACGTCCAGCGTAAATTTTTTCCCCATAGGAAAGCATTGATTCAATGGTTTCCTGTGGGGAGGTCTAATGCGTGCTTTGCATTCCTGGCACTATAGTATCCCTTTAAGAGGTTAAAGAAGGAAGTATAAATGGATGAAATTGCCCAACACATTTCAAATTTCTCAGCACTTTCTCAAAGACATTAGACTGTTTCATCCTTGTATGCTTTCTTCCTGTTATCCTCTATGGCAGCACAACACTCTCTATTTTTATATATATATATTTATAAAACATTTTACCAGGAAAGATACATTGAGATTTCTCTCATTTTCAAGTACGTCCTGGGTCCACAAAACATTGCATTGAGATATATATATATATATATATATATATTTATACAGACATAAAAGTTTCAATGTATGTGTTGTGGAAATAAGGTCTGCACATATTTCCTAGTTAGTGAAAAATGTCTATTTACTCATTTCACAATATATATATATATATATAGCTAAGCACACACGTTATAATTAAGATGGCTGCTGGAAGCTTCTAGCTCCTTCCCCCTCCCCTCCCTTTCTCCTTCCTAACATCGACTAACTACCTCGTGCACCAAGATGGCGCCGGTAAACCGTGGGAGACCCTCATGGCCCCGGTGACATCACCTACAGTAGGCAGAGCATTGAAGCAACCACTTAACACCTACCAATAATTGATGTATTATTCCATGTTATCTCTGACAATGCTTATGATGTAATTTTGCTTTAAAAGGGACTTGCCGTCCCCTCTGAATAAACTTTCCTCAAGTTATTCAACAACCTAGAACCTGTGTCTGGTGTGAATTACTTCAGGGAGCGTGCACGCATTGTTTCATTGATTTGGCCAGGGGCAGATACACAAAGAAATAATCAATGTATTGATTGATTTTTCCATTTCAATTAGCGCCCAACGTGGGGCTCACCGGAGAGCCGGTTCGGAGGGCCGGAACCAGCGGACCGGAGCGGACCTCCGGAAAGTGGGACAAGCGGAGCCTGATCACCTCCATAATACAGCCGTTGCCTGTGTTGTTCTCCTGTTTTGTGCCGGTCTGTCTCCGAGTCCACTTCCGGCTTCCAGAAGGCTACTAGAGACAGGTAATTAACTCATCCGGTGCGCCCTTTTTAAGTGAACCTGTCGATTGTCTATCTGCCTCCTGTATTCATTTATGTGTGTGTGTTTATTATACCTTTAATATATGTTTGCTTGACTGCCTAGCGGGCAGGGAACGCATTTTATATGTTTGCTTGACTGCCTAGCGGGCAGGGAACGCATTTTATATGTTTGCTTGACTGCCTAGCGGGCAGGGAATGCATTTTATATGTTTGCTTGACTGCCTAGCGGGCAGGGAACGCATTTTATATGTTTGCTTGACTGCCTAGCGGGCAGGGAACGCATTTTATATGTTTGCTTGACTGCCTAGCGGGCAGGGAACGCATTTTATATGTTTGTTTGACTGCCTAGCGGGCAGGGAACGCATTTTATATGTTTGCTTGACTGCCTAGCGGGCAGGGAACGCATTTTATATGTTTGCTTGACTGCCTAGCGGGCAGGGAACGCATTTCAGCCGGTGGGGCTGGGTTTTTATGTTTGCTTGACTGCCTAGCGGGCAGGGAACGCATTTCAGCCGGAGGGGCTGGGTTTTTATGTTAGCTTGACTGCCTAGCGGGCAGGGAACGCATTGCAGCCGGTGGGGCTGGGATTTTTGTTTGATTATTGCAGTATTTCCTTTGGTACCAGTGTTTTGCCGGGACCAGCCTGGTGGGTGAAGGCTGGGGATTGTTATACCCTGAATATCCGACACCGGTGGTGTTAACATGTACATGGCTATTTTGCTCTCTATCATTCTGTGGTTTCTGTTTAATTGTTGTTACAGTGTGGGTACCCTTGGTGTGTGTGTGTGTGTTGTGTGGTTAGTTCTGGATTCCGGAGTTTACGCTCATTTGTATGTTTGTGATTTTTGCAAATGTCTTCTCATTAGCGCAGCCACGTTCATTTTCTCCTTTGTTCTTTATCTCTCCTGTGCCTGTTGCCCAGAGCTGTGTTAGTCACCCACGCTCATTCGCTCCCGTCCGTGACCATCACCCCGGGTGGGCGGATCTCCGTGACTGGTCTACGTTTGGGGAAGACGCACGGGGCTCAAGTTCTCGTGGCAGTCGAACACTGTAGACATTCTTTTTCCCTTGTACTTACTATACTTCTTTGTCTTCCACGTGTGGCACGCTTTGGTTACTCAATAATGGGACAGGAACATGCTAGACCTGCTAAGGGCTTGCTAGCTTGTGACATTGTGAAAGAAAGGGCAGGGGAAGATGCAATGTTGAAACTTAAAAAGATTGCTAAGGTGTGTGGTTTCCAGATGTTGCCCAGTGGGAGATTACAACCTGAGTTTTGGAGAAAGCTACTCATAGACAAGGAAGGGTTGTTGTTGGATAATGGACTTACGAAAGTTGCAGAGGCTTGGTACCGGGTGGCTAGAGGTTTGAAACGGGAAGGATGGGTCGAGGAAGAACTGGAGTTTGAGGGGCAAAATATGTATGTTTATCACAGGAGTGTTCATAATGATGATGTTGTTTCTATTGTTCCACGACCACCGCCCTATGATGGCGCCCGGAGCGCAACACTTAATTCCCGCCCTGCTTCTCCCGTTACGACACAGCTCCCACTCCCCTGTGCCCCGTACTCGGTGCGGATGGTGCTTACTATTATCCAGTGCCACTTCACTCGTTCCCTCCTACTCCCATGCCTCAACATTCCTATGACCCAACCCCCTCCGTTAGCCATCCTTCTGTCATGCCTGCCGAAGCCCCTCCGCCTTCATGTCCTTCGCTACCTCTCCCAGTGACCGTCCCCACTCCGGACCTCACCATGGCTTCCCTCACCTCACCCATTGAAGTCCCACCTTCCTCCTCCGCTTCCCTCTCAACCCCGAGTACCCCTCCCTTAGTAGCTTCCGTTCCCTCACCCTCTCCGTCTATCACACATCCAACTCCCCTACCCCATACCCTTTCCACCGGCCCTATTCCTCCGGATCTCTGTCTCCCCGCTGACCCAGGACCCCTCCCTCCCACGGCCGATTTGCCGTCCCTAATCTCTGCCCTCACCGCCCTGACCCAGCCCCCTGTTACCACCTCTCCTCCAGTGTTACCTCCTCCTCCCGAAGTCCCAGCCCCCTCTACCTCGTTATCCCTCCCTCCCACGGCCGATTTGCCGTCCCTAATCTCTGCCCTCACCGCCCTGACCCAGCCCCCTGTTACCACCTCTCCTCCAGTGTTACCTCCCCCTCCCGAAGTCCCGGGCCCCTCCACCCCATTGCCTACCCCTCCACCGATTGGTTTGCCGTCCCAACCCTCCACCCAAGTTGCTCTGCCACAGCCCCTTGTTCCTATCCCTCCAACCCCTTCCCCGGCAACCCTTGACGCACCCATGTCCAATGACCTATCTACTTCAATATCCGCCCTTTTCACTGCAGTCACTTCCCTGGTTAACTCCGCGATCCCTGCATTGCCTCCCATTGATATACCTCCTCCTCCTCCTCCTCCCCCCGAGCCTTCGACCCCTCCCTTGTCTCCCGTTAATCTCCTCGAGCCTTCCGATCCAATCTCTGCTCTTGCACATGTCCTAAACACCCACCTCTCACGGCCAGCCCCGCCGTCCCCCATGATGGCCCCTTCCACGGCTTTAGTTCCCCGTGCCCCTTCCGCCAGCACCAGTTACCCAATCATGGTGGTTGGGTCCGAGGTGTCTGCGACTTCGGACCAGCCCTATGCGATGGGTGCCTCCCCCCAAGCCTCGGGTTTCCACCCAATTACCTCTCCTATCACCCCCTTCCCAGTTGCCCCCGCTACAGCTACCCCTGAGGCTACTCTTCACCGTGGTCCAATAGTGCCCGAGGAGGTCGTTGTGGTGGACCAGAGCCCACCCCATCTGGGGGGGGAAAGGCTTCCCCAACGGCACTCGATTCCCCAGGGGTATACTCAGATCAGTCATGGTGCGGATGG